CTTTCATAAATGTATAATTCCTCAACTGGGATGAAAATTCTAAAAAGAGTTTATGTTATACTTATGACTTTATATATACTAAAATTCTTTCCTAGTTATCCTTTTACTGTAAGTATATGAAACACAAAACACAATTTTTGAAAGTTACCTTTTGGCAAAAGCACAGATGTTGTCAATAAGTGGACAGTTCTTCAGTGCAGCTTCTACTTTCCCAAGAGAAACATATTCTCCTGCTTGTAACTTTACCAGATCTTTCTTGCGATCTGAAAGTTATGAAGAATGTTAAGTTAGCCATGGTCTGTTTTATTAAGGTATAAATGATGACTTTCTTTGAATCTCATTGCCTTAATATTTATTTAGAAAGATACTTCTTCTAAAAATTTTTCTATATATTGCTCATCCATATGCATCAGTTAAAATAAAAATTCCTAACTAAAGAAAAAATAGCTAAAAGTTATTTCCTATAAACAAAGCTTTAACATCTTATTATAAATGTAATTAAATTGTAATAAAGTTAAAGGAAGGAACAAGGACTTTGGAGCATTAGATTTTAAAGAAAGCACTACCCAATACTAGCTATAGAATCTAGAGAACGTCAGGTACTCTCTCTAACTGTTAGTTTTATCAGGGATAATGATGTTCATCTTCTTATATGCACATCATACAATGTCTGGTACAGAGAATACAGAACACATTTAACAAATGTTAATTCCTATGTTTTCCAAATTTGACATATCTTGTTAAAATTACAGTGTGCTGACCAGCAGTTGGCATAATGGCTATGTCACTGGACTCCCATGTAGTCGACCGCGGTTCAAGTCCTGGACCTGGTGGCTTAAAAACTCACATCAGGCACGTGTGTGTGCATGCCTAAGATCCCAAGAGGAGACTGGAGGATAAGGGATCGCGGCATGGTCATCTCCCCTAGGGGGTGATTTCTCAATTTTTGTCTCTCTGTCTCTCTCTGTCTTTCTGGTGAGCGCACACACCCTATAGCAAAACCTCTCAAAAAAAAAATAATTACAGTGTGCTAATAAAGTGCTGGCACGGAATGGCACAGCTTGAATAATCACTAGGTTATCCTACAGCCTTCATATAAGTGCTGATTTGCTTGCCTATAGCCTGGGAACCCACTATACAGAAACGACCTTTAATTTCAGCACAATTAAGGATTATTGAAGAAGAAGAAGAAAGAAGAAGCAAGAAGAAGAAAGAAGAAGAAGAAAAAAGAAGCAGGAAGAAGGAAGGAAGGAAGGAAGGAAGGAAGGAAGGAAGGAAGGAAGGAAGGAGTTTATTGATTGTAACTGAAACATGATTCCTGGGAATACTCTCAGCAGAACAAATTTCTATCAACAGATGAACCAACTTTTCCCACGAAACTCTTAACTGTGTTTAGGTCAGATACAGTGAGGTCCAGCAAGAGATCAAAATGGGTCACCAGAGATATGTGTAAGTCAAACTTATGGCTTGATAAGGACCTGCCTGGAATCTAGCAGTGTGGTCCTTATAACTTTTGCCTGATTAAAGTTAATAACATAAGGGTCCATTTTGGAGTCACTTTTTGAACTTGTAGATTAAATTAAATAGGCCTAATAAGAGTCATGAAACTGACATTCACAGAACAAACAAGTGTTGAAAACTATAATCATCATTTTCTAAGATTCAGGGCTAGTAAGAGCCTTATAAATGGCAACCAGGAAAAAAAAAATCCCACGCTCTCCCTTCGGTGGGGAAATAAAGGGTAAGAAAGCCCCAGTATAGGGTATATCACAGTAAACAGTTATGCAGAATCACATGTGGTTGACCAAAACATACCCCTTCTGAGCTATTTTTGTTTTCCCATGACCACTATGTTATTTTCTGCCCATCCCTGTCACCACCAAATGCTACTGCTGCTGCTGCTGCTGCTGCTGCTGCCGCCATTGCTCCTACTTCCTAAAAAAGTCCTGGGAATTCTCTGAACATCTTACATATAAACCCTTCATCTAATCCTAACAATAACCCCATGAGGTCAGCATTGTTGTCCCTCATTAATAGAGGAAGATGCTCAGGCAAGAGTTAAATAACTTGACCAAAGTTTAAACTAATGGAACTATCAACCCCAATAATGTCCTGACCGATACCACTTTTCATGTACGTTGAAATTACAAAAAACTGAAGAAACATCACAAAAAAGAGAATACACTGACCTATAATCTGTAAACATCCATCGGGATGGAATTCTCCAATATCACCAGTACAAAACCACCTTTGTCCATTTTCATCCACAGAATAATCCTCTGCTGTTTACTCTTCATTTTTAAAATAACCCATAGAGATATTCTGTCCACCAATTACGATTTCACCTCTGGGGTTTGGCTTATCATGAATTGTATAACCACCTGGAAATCATGAAAGTAAATTAGCTGTTATTCTAAAATAAAATTTAATTAATTCCTAAAGCTCATTTGTTAACATTTTCGTGCTGATGCAACTTTACATTACTTTATGGGAGAATATTAGTTTGTATTTACTCAGATTTACATGAAGAAAGTGACTGAGATTTCAAGGTCACCAGGGAAGTAACAATAATCACCACGAACAACCACCCATCCCAAACCTTCTTAATGCCCATAAAATTTCATACTTAGAACATTATTAAAGGACCAGCAGGTGGTGTGGTGGTGAAGGTGCTGGATACCCCACATTGCCAATCACAGTTTGAGTCCCAGAACTGATGGCATAAAAATCACAACAAATAGATAACTAAATGAATGTTTAAATAAATAAACAAACAAAAAAAACAAATATCATTAACGTTTAGGGCTCATTGAATTCTGTTAAGACAAAATATTTCCCAAGATAATTTGCTTGATGTTGTTACAAGTAAAGTGCTGGGCTGGCCCTGTAGTGCAGAATTAATCCCTGTGCCTCGATAGTCATATCCCACATGATTGGTCATGTTTCAAACCATGGCCCTAGTGGCATGAGAAACATGCTAGGTATAAGTACACGCATGCCCAAAATCCTGATGAGTTGTAGGAAAAAAAGACTGCAGTGTGAATACATCCCATTGAGAGGTGTTTTTTTTTTTTCTTTCTCTCTCTTCCCTCCCCTACCTCTTTCTCTCCAGTGAGCTCACACACTTTCTGACAATTAAAAAAAGTAAACTGCTAATATGCTGATATCAACACATTTCAGATTTTTTCCTAAGGATCCTTTAATCAAAATCAACAAGTAGTACCTACCTATGAAAGGCAATACCATTGAACGGGAGGGAAAGA